CATGGGGACCTCCGCACCCAGAATTGAACCAGGGGTGTCCAACCCTGGCCACTTTAAGACTGGGTGGGCTTCCACTCCCAGCATTGAACCAGGGGTGTCCAATATTGGCAACTTCAAGATTGGGGGACTTCAACTCCCAGGATTCCTCAGCCAGTTGGAGATCACTGGTTTAGTTAAAGGAACCCTGGGAGTTGAAGTCCCCCAGTTTTAAAGTTGCTGGGGTTGGATCCCCCCTGGTTTAGACCTTGACCTACCTCGCAGGGTTGTTGATGGACACTATCCTTTCCCTGCTGAGCCCCATTTTGGGGGAGAAACTCATTGGCAACCTTTTCAAAGCCTTTAAGAGGCAACCCACCCTCTCCCTGGACTATTCCAATATATTAGGGGGAGGGGGAGGGGGCAGCACCCCCTATGTATATTGATGCCCCTGGGGTGGGGGCAAGGCCAGGTTTGCATCCAGTGGTGGCTCCACGGAAGGGGAAGGTCTCTGACTCAGGGCGGCCTTCCTCATAAGGTTATTGTGGGGGGGATTCAAAGAGAGCCCCTTCAAAGAATGAAGACTGCCTGAACCCCGAAGCAGAGGGCAATAATGGGGGGGGGGGATCTTACTTAGGCAACCTAATTGGGCAGGGGGGCTTTAGAAAGGGGCCTCTGAATCCCGTCGGGAGGGGAATTAAAAGACTGGAGGGACCCCCCCCCCCAGACCCGGCGGGGCAATAAGGGGGGGGGGTGTTTAATAGGGGGGGGGGGGGTCTTAGGCAGCCGTAATTGGGCAGGGGGATGAGGGGGCTTTAGAAAGGTGCCCCGGAGGGAAGGGAAGGGAGGGTCCCCGTCCAGTGTCGGGCCGTTCCGCGGGCTCACCGTGTGTCAGCGACGGGGGCGGCGGCGGCGGCAGGCCCGGCGGCGGCGAAGGGGGCGGCGGCGTCGCAGGTTGTCCCGGCCCGCCCCTCAGGAAAGCCGGCACGAACTCGGCGGCGTGGACGTTGGGCACGAAGGGCTTGGCGTTGACGTTGAGGTGCCGGCTGAAGGCCGCGCCCAGGAGCTGCTCCTCTTCGGACTCCAGCTGGGCCGGCCCGGTCGCCGCCGCCGCCGCCGCCGCCGCTTCCTCGTTCACCGGGGCGGCGGCGGCGGCGGCGGCGCTTCCGCTGCTCGGCTCGAGGTCCGCCTGGTCCCAGCAATCGGGCGCCGAGTCGCTGCTGCTCCCGCTGCCGTTCGCCTCCATTTTGTGCGCCCGGCCGCCTGCCCGGCCCCTCACGAGCCTCTCTTTGCGTCCCAAGCGCCTCCCCGGCGGGGAAGGGAGGGAGGGAGGGAAGGCGCAGAGAAGCGGAGGCGGTGGGGAGGGACGGTGGCAAAGGACGGCGGCGGAGGCAGCGACCCCGGTCCTCGCTCCGGCCACGCTCCGCGTGTGCCCCACCGCCCCGACGCAGTATGGCCTCCCTCAGCTGCCGTACGCTTCGTCTCCCGTGCGCAGGCGCCGGCTGCCCGGCTGCACGCTCGGTAGTCCTGCGTCTCCGCGTAAACCCTTTGCGACACGTGGGCGCCGCCGGGACGAGGACTACAACTCCCGAAAGGCCGCGCGCCGCAGTGGAGACTGGACGGCCGGTCCGCACGGGAAGCACAACTCGCTGCCTTTCTTTTTCTTTCCGCTCCCTCGCTCCCTCCCTCCCGCTGGCGTGGATGCCTCCGTGTCCTTTGCAAAAACAACAATCCCCAGCAGCCATCGCGCGGTCCCTTTGCCTCGCGCACGCGTTCTTTCTTTCTCCCTTCTTCCTACGAAACTATGTGGTCGAGCTTAGTTTGGGGGGAGGAAAATAAGGGGGAAACAATTCTGCCTCTGCCTGCCATCCTCCATCGGTATTCATCTGGCTGGCGTCCTGTCAGTGTGAGAGAGAGTTGAGGGCTGTTTGGAAAGTGAAACAGTATTTGCTGTGTGAGCAAGAAGGAGACAGCAAGGCGTTCAAAAAAGCGAGAGATTGAATGACACTTGTCATCAAGGAAGGAGAAGAATAAAATGTTTTGCAAGTTTATGAAGCGGTTACACTTATTTCTTTAATTTCTCACTTGCCTTTCTTTGAACAAGTCTTTTTAAAAACATTTTATCCTTACAGTAGCCCTGCAATGTAGGTTAGGCTGAATGATAGCGGCTGTGTTTGTTGGACTTGCAAATTCAATGTTCAATGAACTTTACTTAAAACACATTCAAAGTTTACTTACACCACTCCTGAAAATCGTGTTGAGTAAACTATGGTTCACCGAACACATCAGCATGCTGACCTTGTTCAGAACAGACTGAATCATGGTTTACTGAGTGCTTTTAAGTAAAAAGCGATTTGCCACAATTTACAAGGCACAGTGGCAGGGACTGAGGTATTGTGCTCAGCCAAAATCAAATGAACTGTGCTTTGACCCTGTGTGATATGGTAGTAGTAGTAGTAACACCATGTAGTTTTATTTGATTGATTTTCAGGCTTTGCAAGTATAATTGGGAAGAAAACTGTTCCACAAATGTCATTGCTTGAATCAAAGTCAAGTGATAGCCATTTGTCACTATCCCAGCCAGCTTCTAGTCAGCAAAACAAGGGGGGGGGGAACGGGACAGGCGGACTGGATTTTCTTCATTATGTGATTTATTTGACAATTGTGGCAGAAAAGTCATACTTTTCAGTGAATCAGGTTTGATTCACTTAACATTCACCTTGCTTATTCACAAAAAGTTCCTTATAACTTATAAATCAAGGATTTATTGTACCTGAAGATAAAGGTTCCCTTAGATCTGAAGCCGGGAAAAAAATAGAACTGTACAGGCAGTCCTTGTTTAGTGACCATAATGAGGACTAGCAACTCAGTTATTCAGCAAAGTGGTAGCTAAACAAAAGTACTGTGCTTGTGATCTGGCTTCAGCTTTCCTTTGCTTTACAGACCTGTGAAGGTCGTAAAAGTGAGATTTAGTTGCAAAGTTACGTTTTGATTACCACCGAACTATGAATGGTCCTATACGAGGCAGTCATTAAATGAGGACATCCTTTATCAGTCATTATTAGAAGAAAATATTTCAGCTATAATCCATTTTGAAGCTACTGCTACTTTTCCATCAAACGTATTGTTTTTTTTCTACTGTCAACGGCATGTCACAAATCAGGAAACTTTTCACAGAACTGTCACTGGATGTCACTCTTGAGTCAATACAATTTTAAAATGAGATTTGTTTGTTGGGCGAGCGAATTAATTTGATCTAGGGACTTAGGATGTTTAGTTAGGCAGTCAATAGTGCTTTAATTAATCGTCCTGTATCTGATCGTAGTTAGAAGAAATGTGATGTAAGATTTAACCGTCTGATGATTTTAATTAGAGTGGGTAAGCTTTGCATCATCGCATCTCACTTTGAATGTTCCCTTTCATCACCAACTGCCCATAAGGCAAATTAAGGATTTTGCAAGACATATTACAGAAGATAAATTCCTACATTATGAAAAGTGAATCATGTTTTTTTCTCCACTTTATTATTAATGATGTTGAATTAGAAATAAATAATGATCACAAAGAAGAGTACAAACTTTACCTTTCATCCCCTGTGGAAATGCTTGAAAAAAGGTGCATAGACCTTTATTTAGGGATCCACTCTCCAGGTACTGTACTTCTATTTTCTTATACCTAAATAATCTAATGCACCCCAAAAAAATTTCACCCCAACTAAAACTATATTTACAAGCATTTCAGCAGCTGAATGAAGGTGCTTTGCCAGCTTAATTTGCATTTATTTTATTTTTCTTTATTGATTAAACTTATACACTGCCCATCTCACCTAAACCTTCTTCTCCCTCACCATCTTTTTCCCCGAACCTCCCCAGGCAAAGCGCTGATTGTCCCTGCATCCCTGTGGGCCGAAGCCCCACTCGCCTCAGGTTCTCCCACCCACCCCTTCCAAGCTGGGGATAATGGAGCCTGTGGTCCCAAAGACAACCCCTGCTGCTCCTCCCAAAGCAGAGCTCAACAGAAGAATAGAATAGAGTAGAAGGATAGAGAGAGAATAGACTAGAGAGAGAATGGACTAGACTCGAGAACAGAATAGAGCAGAATAGAATAAAGAATAGAGAGAGACTAGACTAGTCAGAATAGAATAGAATGATGGAATGAAGATATAGAATAGAATAAGAGATTGGATAACCATTTGTCTGAAATGGTATAGGGTTTCCTGCCTAAACAGGGGGTTGGACTAGAAGACCTCCACGGTCCCTTCCTTCTATTCTATTCTATTCTATTCTATTCTATTCTATTCTATTCTATGCTTCTCTATTCTCTATTCCTATTCCATTTCACTCTACTCTATTTTCTATTGTTCCGTTCCGTTCCATTCCATATTCTATTCTATTCCGTATTCCATTCCATTTCATTCCATGTTCTATTCTATTCTATTCTATTCTATTCTATTCTATTCTATTCTATT